CGTCCCTCCATCTCCCTCACTCCGCGGGAGCTGCGCGAGGAGCAGGAGGATGTTCGACAACACGCAGTACCCCTATAACTGTTTCAATTACGACGGGGATGATTATCCAACCTGTAGTTCTGACGAAGAGAAAAAATTCACCAGACCGGCGTACAGGTAAGAGGAAGTTTGCCCCAGCACCGCTCTCTCCGGGGAGCTGTCAGACCGTGGGAAAGCCCCTCTCCAGGTGGTTGGGGACTTCTCTCCGGGTGCGTTTGTCCCAGGCACGGGGCCTGCGGGGGGAAGATTTCACCCCTTCCTTGCCTGAAGCGTTCGTGGCTCATTTCCTGCCCTGTGGGGTCACAGCAGCCCCAGCGTGCTGGTCCCGCGCACCGCCGAATCACCAGCGCTCGCCTTCCTGCTCTCAGGATCTCAGGAGCCCTGGAGAAAGGGGGCTACGTGGGCAGTGTGCCGTGAGGGGCATGGACACAGGAGACCGCAGCGCAGGTGTCCGCAGCAACGGCCCAGGGCCTTCCCGCGCCTGAGGGCTGGCATCTCCATGGTGGTGGCTCCGTCTCACTGGAGCCCTCAAGTTCAGGGAAACTTTTCTAATAGGATCTGAGACGTTGACCGATCTTTCTTTAATCCTCCCATGTCTAAACCCTCGTGTGAGGGTGAGCAGCCTGGTGGGGATCTAGTGGTCTGGAAGTAACACCTGCATTTCGTGCTGCCTGACTGGCATGAGACAGGCAGCAGCGGTGCTCTCCTACGGCCAGGCAGATCCCATCTCATCTGCTGGGCTGTCTAGGGTCAGGACGCAGAGCCAGAGGGGCACCTCTCATAAGCAGGATCATGTGCGCATATGTACCTGTGTGATCCTCGTTATATGAGTTCTCATTATCTGAGGATATTATATATGACAATATTATATTATCCTCATTATTATCTGTGTATAAGGCAATGGTGTAACAGCTAGTTTTCCTTTTTTCAGCTACATTGCCTTAATTGCAATGGCCATCCAGCAAAGTCCATCAAATAAAGTCACCCTCTCTGGCATTTATGACTTTATAATGAAGAAATTTCCTTACTACAGATCAAATCAAAGAGCCTGGCAGAACTCCATCCGACATAACTTATCACTTAACAGTTGTTTTGTAAAGGTAAGCTCAATAACTATATATTTACATACGCACTGTGCATAGATTAAAAAATACCCAACGAATTGCAAGAATAATCTTATCACTAGGAAAGAAGGGAAACAAACAGCTGAGCTACAAATCACCTAAAATCTCTCTGAGTTGTCATTTATAAAGATAAAGAGTATGTCCTTGTCTGATGCGTGCTAATAGATAACAAACTGAAGAGGCTGGAGTTTACATCCTATTCGTATAATGATAGAGAATAGGCTTAAAAGTCATGTCATTTGTGTTTACACCATTCTTGAATGTAAATGAATGCAGATGTTAAGCAGCAGCATCTGTAACACATACAAATACTGAACTGCCTTTAAATAAATACAGGTTCCCAGAACAGAAGGGAATGAGAAGGGGAAAGGAAACTATTGGAGCTTTGCAACGGGATGTGAGTCCATGCTGGATCTCTTTGAAAATGGGAATTACAGGCGAAGACGGAGGAGGAGGAACATGAAAAGGGAACATAAGGAGCAGAGACCAAGCAGAGGGAAAAGTCCTTCGTTGCCTGATATGTCTTCTACAGACTCTGGTTTAAACAACATTTCCTCTTCTGAAAGTAAACATGAAAGAGTTGAATCAGGACCAAGACTACTGGAACCTCATGGGTTTGCTCCAAACACTACAATGACGAGGCAGAGCCTAAGCAATTCCTCCTTAGCAAAATCGGATTCCGAAATTAAATTTAGCATCGATTACATTCTTTCAGCCCCTGACCCTTTGCCTGTTCTGAGATCTCAGTATAACATGCAGGAAAATAAATATCGTTTACTGGAGGCCCAGCAAATTAATCTCCAGTTCTGGACAATGTGATGTTATTTGTATGCAGTAACAAAGTCTGAGTTGCAGTGTATTCAGCAGCCTTGCATCACTGAAAATCAGCCATCTGCCTCCTCTTTTTGTCCACAACTAGTATTCAGAAAGGGTTACCAATCCACCAGCTGATACTCTGTCTATACCAAAAGAACTTTGCTTAAAGTATAAATAACCGTTATCAATATCAGTTTTCACTATGCTGAAATTCAGGAAATTCTAGCTTTGTTTTCTAAACTATCCTGGACTTCATTTAACATCATACAGATTTCCTTTCTCGAGTAGAATCCAACAGAAAAGAGACTTGCTTATCACCCATTACTTTATTAAAGACAAAGTGGATTTGAGTCCACTGTCCCTGGTGGAAATTAGGATTAATTCCACTGAGTATATCTGTCAGATCTTAAGCTGATCTAAAACAGTGTAATTCTATGGACTTACACTGGCCGAGAATGTAAAGGGTTGGGGGGGGGGTTGTTTTATTAAAAGAAATCACATAAAACCACTCAGTCTTCCCTTAATTTTGATTTTAGCATCATGTCTCAAGCTATAGTAAGTATCGTGCAGCATTAATACATCATTAATTGGTAAGTATAGTTATTAATAGATGTTTAAGGTATATTTTATTGATATTCAGGACAAAGTTGTTTAAACTGTTGAAGTTGTATTCAAAATAATTCCAAGAAACCTAATTGCAAGGCTGTTAAACTGGTAGACTTTGATGGATAGTGTGGCAGAGGCATAGGGACTCCTAATGCCTTGTTAAAAAAAAAATAGCTCTCCCCCCTTGTACTACCAGAAAGCTTCCTGAGATGCTACAGGAAAGTCCTTGAATATCTTTCATTTAGCAAGTATGAAGGGAAAAACAGCCCTGCAAGAACCTATATCCAGTGTCGACCAAAGCCAGAATTCCATCTACCTGCTTTGAGACAAGTTGTATATTCCTATTAAACAGATTTTTATCGATCCTTCCTGCAAGCAATCACCAAAGTGGTACTTGATACAATTTCAGCAAAGCTAGTGAGGTTTATAATTTACAGATAGCAGTGCTAGCTCACGAGCTCCATTTCTAATGAAAGCCCTTTCATTACCGTTTGCACTGTAGCAGGGTATCTCAGAACAGACCCTTACGGACAATGATGAACTGTAACCAACATTTAAGAACTTGCTTTTATATAACTTCTTGTTCACAATGAACTGCTTCCAGTACCTAATGGCAACACTAGTAGAGACTCCACAAAGTCTTGGTTTTCGGCTTGGCTACTACAAACTTCGCCTGCTGCAGAGAAAAGAAAAAAGACAAGGATTCCGGTGGTTATAAGCAATTATACAGAGAGTGATAAAATTATCTTTGCAACGTGAACTGAAGGTAAATGCAGGTGTAAGAGATAAGATTAAGCGAAACTGTGCTAGAGGTATGCTCAGGCATGACTTGAATTTTTATGCAGAAGCTTTGACATTTCACTAAGTTATTTTACATTGTGGCTAATATATATTGTACATTTATACTATATAGTCTTATATATTGTTACTGAGAAAGGGAGCAATATCACTGTGCTTATATGTTGTAAAAATGCATGGTGTATGTTACTGTGATGTTAAAAGTCCTGCCATATACTTAAAATTCACCATCAGCAGTATTTCACACAGATTGGTAATAAATGCTCATTTCTTTGGAAAACTGTAACACCTGGCATCTTCAGGCATTACCAGAGCATGCAAAATTCTTTATTTTTTCTTCCTCAAACAAAAAGAGAAAAAATGAAAAATCATGTCAAAGTCAGGTCACTGCATGTCTTCCGAACTTGCAGAGGATGAGTTCTTCTGGCTAAAATCTGTCTTGAAGTGGGAGCTTTCAGTTAGCTGTGGATCAATGGTTATTTTGTGCTGTTATCTGAAAAAAAAATTTGGCTCATTAGATGTGATTGATCTGCTGTTTACATTGATGTTAAAAAAAGAAGAAAACCTCAGAGTTTCTGGGCAGATGGATTCTCATTTGGAGAAGAAGAGAATTTGCTCCTGTAGCATTATACTCAGCACTACACTGGTGTGGGAGAGCATGTCTTCATTTAGTACTTCTGTGTATGCATGCACTCACACGTGGGTTGGTTTGTGTGCATCTCTAGCTTTCTATCTGCATTTATATATTCATGCTTTATATGCAGATTTTTTCCTGGTTGTTTTAAACATGGCAATGCTGCTGTTAGGCTCATAGTTATAGTAAATATCAGTAGCATATTTGAAATATAAATTTTTTGCTGTGAAATGTGCAAATATGCTTCTTAATACGTGTTCTCTGTTAAAACTGCTTAGCAGAGATAACCAAAGGGCAGCAAAAGTTCCTACTGAGCAGATGCCTCACCCAGGTGAACGCAGTCGGCTAGCTGCCACTGAGACCGATGGAGATGCATTTATGGCTACTAAGTAAAACGGGATAAAAGTGTAGGAAAGGCAGAACCTGTACCGATTTACAGCAGAGATCCAAAGCCATTTCTAGTAAGATGAATTAATATTCACAAATAGCCATTTCCTTTGCTCACAGTAAAGTGCCTGCTAGGAGAGACTGTCATACCTGAGTTTCCCTAACATATAATCAAAGAAATTTGTGTACAAATAGGTGTTAACATTTGTTTTGCAAAGGATATCAATCATATTTCAAAAAATGAAGGGACATATTTCAATTTACCCAGTATATTATATTCTGACAACTCCAGAAAGGTTTCCAGCACTTAAAGTGAATGGCATTTAATATAGAACAACATAACAGGGGTGAGGGCTAGACGTGACCTTATTCAAATGTCGTAGCCGTTACAAAGCCATTCCCAATGTAATTATAATTAAATACTTTATGCCTTTCTTGCAAATCCTCTGATCGATCATTGATATTAACATTAATATTGTATTACCCCCGAGCAAATGTCTCCCATACAAGCGTTATGGATCACCAGGTTTCCATTAACAAAACTGTGAGCTATTGCAGTATGCTGGTCGTGGATAAATTTACGTAAATTACCTTTTCTTGGGGAAGGGGGAAAAAAGTCTAGGGTCTTTTTTTTTCTTTTTTAATCCTGGCACACTGAGTCTGGTGCTATTTCTTCAGCTGAGCCGAAGGCAGGGCTAAGCAACGCACAGAGACTAGGGCAGAGTCTGTCTGTCTTCTCCAATATGGGCTGGACAAGGGCAGCGTTCTCTGAGCCTTGACCGGACAGTGCTGGCTGGGACACACGTAGCTGCCAACACGAGCAAAAACTCCGGTGTTTGGCTCTGAAAATTATTCCTCCTCTCAGGGTGGTCTTCCATCTTATAGAGTGGGGAAACCCCAATGAGCGGTGAATATTGCGATGCTAAAAGAGGTGCTCCCCTTGGCGGGGCTGACGAGGCCGGTCCCGTGCGCAGGCTGTCGGCCCAGGCCCAGACGGCAGGCGCATGGGAGCACGGGCAGCTCCTTGCACTGAGGCACTGGCAGCCTGCGCCACGTGGAGGGAGAAGCAACCTTTTGTCCCATCCTTGGAGGATCATAAATACGTTTGCAAAGGGAAAGATGAAAGGTTTCTTTCCGGGAAGAAGCTAGGCTCAGCCTCACTGAGGGACCTCGGGGTGTTTTGTTTATTTACCTGTTCAAAGACAGGTTTCCCATGAAAAAACAGAGATTGTGATGGAGCTATGCCAGGTTACTCTGCAGCGATTTTACTTACGATGATTTCGTTTCTTAGGCTTTTGTCATCAATGTCACAGAAATGTTTCTCGCACAGCAAGACAGCTGATGACCGCCCTCCCATTGGGCAGTGACATTCAAAGCTCTTAGGCAAAGCTGCAGCACTCCTTTTTCTACCAGAGGCCAGTGAGGTGAGGACAGCAGCGCACCAGGTGCAGGAAAACAGTTGACCTCACCTGAAGGAACCTCTCCCTCACAGCAGCACCTTGTCTTCATTGTGGGAGGGCTACTGCCAATTGAGAAAGCCAAAACCAAATGTTTTCTCTGTCAATAAAGCCAAGTCCCTGTTCCCCTATTTTTTCTGCCAGTCAGATAGATCTTACTGGTTGAGTCCCATTAAATTGCCCTATAAGCAGATGCTGTGTTCCAGAACTGTTGGTAGGTCAAACCACACTGCAGCCCCAGCTCTAACTGCTCCTTTACTTTGTTGGGTTTACTTTGTTGCACCTTATTGCATTGGCTGCTATAGCGGCTATTAACCGTGGTGCAAGCTGGTCCTCACGTACTTTTTACACCAATCTGCACACTCCCTGATGGTTGACTCCAGACTTCCACTTTTGTGCTGTTTTCTGCTTATGAAGAATTTCCCTCCTGGATGGGAATTGCCTGTTCAGGTCCAAGTCCTGTGTGTCCTTTCCCCTCTCTCGCGGGCAGAGGGAACACCCTATGACGGGAAGGGACCTGGAGGAACACATCATGGGGAAACAGCTCTGCTACGTCAACCTTCCAGCAGTACAGGGCTCGCTGGGGATCTTTGCAAATGGTACTTTCAAAGGGCTTGAGAGCTGCTGTAAGTCAGGTCTGTGTTAAGCTTGTCAATCAAGGGCATGATGTCCCCAATCTCCTACCACGCTTGAGCTCAGGTGTGAGAGGGAAGCTAGCCTGAGTGCTTGTATACTGCCAAAGCAAATAGGGTCTTAGTCTTCACTACTGGCAGAGTAAAATAGCCCCGTGTCTGTGATCAGCATTTCAGATCCCAGACCCAAACGGTATGGAAATCCTGCATGTCTAATTCCAGCTGGCCTTTCCCTCTCCAGTTCCTCTGGGGCGCATTCTCCTCTCCGTTGTGCTGGTGTAAATCCTTGTAAATCCATTAACTTTGGTACAATTACTGTTGGAATTGAAATAGTATACGTGCAACTGAACTTTTCATACAATACTTAAGGTCCCTAGCCACACAGTACACTGAACAATGCCAGCAGCTCATCTCCTAGACGGCACTCTCGAAGCAACCAATGGTCCTACCTCTTTATTTTCCCTTGGCATCCAGCTTCTAGTGCTTTTTCCAGAACACGGGCACCATATGTACTGCAAGGCACAAAGAAACTAGTACATATCCTCTGTCTCTGTTTTACTGAGAATGTCTTTCGTATGGCTCTTAGGCTCATTAAATTAAAGACTAGGGTAGGTCCAAGTCCTGTGGAACTTGCATTGGAATATTTTATCCAGGGAGCTAACATAAAATAACAAAGTAAGTTGTGCTCCCTCCCACCCTAACTACAAGGGTTGCAGGCAAATCCAACTGTGAGAATTATGCCTGAGAAAGAACTGCAGGATTTCTCCCACTGTGAAATCCAGCTGTTAATTCAAACAAAAGGGATGGACCTGACTAGATAGGCCAACTGGCTTCTTTCCATCCTAAAGTCCATTGTGTTCCACAAGTCCCTAAATTTATGGTTGTGAAGGTCTTCCAAGGCCTTTAACGAAGTATGGCATGCAGTGTTTTTGTT